CCCTTAAGGAGTTTACTTATATCTTGGTCTTTTTATTCCCAATGAAAAAAAAAAAAAAAAAAAAAGCAAATTATGATAAAGCCTTAACAACAACAGAAAGTATGCTTGTCATCCTCTGCGTCCACATGACAATGGCCTGCAGCTCTCCCTTTACATATTGATTATGTATATGGTTTATGCTGAACATAAATAAATAAAAGGATGGACAAGAAAACAAATAAATATGTTAAAGGCCTATTTGCTAAACTGCTTCTTCTGGGCACGAAGCCCTGAAGAGGTAATATTTAAGCTATTGGATCCGGGTGACATGACTTATATCGTGGTAAAAATTGTCTTCAGGGCTATGTGATGTGATAATGCAGTCACGGAATATTATGACTGAGGGCTGGGGCGATGGGAACATGTCATCATGAGAATTCCAGCTGGGGTAATGGGCATGACTTATGACAAGTGAGCAAAGCTCTTGGAGGGTGATTAGACACAGTGGATATTTAGAAAAAGGCTCTTGCATTATTTCCATCAATAAATGTATGTGGAATGTACCATTTGTGAGTCAAAATTGGAAGAGTGCCAGCTTCAGGGAGAATGTTATTTCCAAGTTCAGGATTCTATTCCTGCCCACCATGAGCATTGAAGCAGGATGTATTACAGAAAATTGAATATTACGAAGAAAAAAAAATATTGCATTGAGGGATATTTATTGAGATGATATGGAGTCTGTGCAAGGAAAACAGCCTATCACCATTTAGATACAGCATATCAAATAACAAAAATAGAAATCAGAAAATAACAAAAGAGCAAAACAAGGCTTATGCTGAAAGAGATAATAACTTTGCAAAAGAAGGCAGGGGGTCTGCATATCACACACAAGTGTTTGTGTGGGTAGGAAAGCATCCAGATCCAATGGGTTAAAAGGCCTTTGGCATATTCCTTGTTTTCTAGTACATCACTTTGTTGTTTTATTCACAACTTGTTCAACAGAAATCCTTTAATCCCTTGGATCCAGTTGCGTTATGAAAATCACAGTGCCGAAAACATAGGCAATGGTTGAAGAAAGTAGCCAATGCCCCTGGTGTGTGGTGCGTAGGCATGAAGACCCATAAGCGATGACAAGCCCCTGTGCCTCCTCTTTGCAAAATTATTTTATGTAAACTTTTTTAGATTTATTGCCATTTTCTAATGTCCATATTTGTCTTTTGATTTTCTTTATCTAGATTATAATAGTTTATTTTCCTTGCATAGACTCCATATCATCTCTCTATGTAGTAAATAACTCAGTTCAAGGAAAAAAATATGGAACATTGGTTATTTGTGTCATATATCTCCTTTTTCGTAATTTTCAATTTTATGTAATGCAACCCGCGCCGCCAGTCACAGCAGTCTGGAATACTGTGTACAGCATGGAAATGGCATCCTCACTAGAGCTGGTGCTCTTCCAGTCACTGCTTATGCACATTACATTCCATATTCATTTTTTGATAGGAATAATACTAAAGCCCCCTTTTAAACACTACATGAGTCAAATCACACTCCAAGAGGTTTGTGCCCTCTTGGCGAATCTTTTCCGTTACCATGGCCTGAGTTCATGATGGCAAGTTCAAATCACCAGGGCCGTGGCCAATTTGCCCGATGACAGCATGTTCACATCACCCACCCCTTGACTCAAGTTTTTCCATGACATGACTGCAACTGTAGCCGACCCCCGCAACCTGCAGCGCAGCATATTTCCCCCAGGTTGGGTCCAGGTCCACAGCCTGTCCTCTCGCCCTCACCATCAGCAGCTTCTCGACGACGCATACCGAGACCTGATTGGTTGACCACAGACACCTCACGGCTCGCCCATTGGACCGCAGGCTCCCCTCGTTCCTGGGTGGCTGGCACAGCTCAGACCCACTTAAGCTCCCGCACCCGGTCCGAGTTCAGCACTCACGATCCTCCAGCCGAGCAAGACACAGCAAGCAGCAACTAGGCCTAGCCAGGCCTTAGCCGACGGGTGAGCAGCCCCGGCTCTCCCCGGCGATCTCCAGCACACCAGCCATACCTGTGGGCACTCACACCCACACCCAAAAGCTCCTTAAAGAGATGATTGACACCAGCCTATGGCGGATACAATCCATTGCTATACTGGTGACTTTCCGGAGTGACACAAATACCCAGCCTTCTGGAGTATCACGGTTATCGCTCGCTCGCTTAGCTCCCTCACTGGAGGGGGAGTACCTATAGCCGACCCCCGCAACCTGCAGCGCGGCATACTTCCCCCAGGTTGGGTCCAGGTCCACAACCTGTCCTCTCGCCCTCACCATCAGCAGCTTCTCGACGACGCATACCGAGACCTGATTGGTTGACCACGGACACCTCATGGCTCGCCCATTGGACCGCAGGCTCCCCTCGTTCCCAGGTGGCTGGCACAGCTCAGACCCACTTAAGCTCCCACACCCGGTCCGAGTTCAGCACTCACGATCCTCCAGCCGAGCAAGACACAGCAAGCAGCAACTAGGCCTAGCCAGGCCTTAGCTGACGGGTAAGCCGCCCCAGCTCTCACCGGCGATCTCCAGCACACCAGCCATACCTGTGGGCACTCACATCCACACCCAAAAGCTCCTTAAAGAGATGATTGACACCAGCCTATGGCGGATACAATCCATTGCCATACAATGTCATTTGGATCCAATGCAACTTTTCCTTAACTTTTGTTTGCTGGATTTTTTTTGTGCTTATGTCATTTTATATTCATATCTTTGTTTCAGATATTAGAAAACAAGGGATAATTACTACTGTTTGTTGGATTTTTTGTGTGTGTCTTTCTTTCTACATTCTCTTATCTTTGAATAAAAATTTTTGTCTTCTGGAATAAAAAGAAATCAAGGTAAATAATCATTTTCGCCCCTAATTCATTAATTATTCCAATATTTATTAATACGTATATTTATGTAAAGATTGCTAAATAATTGATGCTCAGAGAGGGTAACACTACGGTAGCGCCCACGATCACAGAGGTGTGATGCTTAACAGGTTACATACAGCTGATTATGGCAGGAAATAGTTATTTCTCTTGAGCCAGTCTGGAACATTCCACGCTCATTCATCAGCAGAAATAATAGAAATAGAAAATATGGGTACATCTATCACATAGGGGAGGATAACCCCACCGAGATAAAAAATTTGTAATAATAATAATAATAATTTCCTTCTTGCCTTATTTATATCTAACATACAGGGAGGACAAAACCACCATGACAATAAAAAAAACATCAAAAATAAGTATTTCCTTGCCTTATTCCAGGCAATAATGTTTGCCTAATAATGATGGAACTGACATGCGTGTTTCTTATCCATGTGAAAAATTAATATCAATATATCTTCTTTCTCTATGTTCTAAGGGAGGTCATGTAAACCCATGCCATACACAGTGAGTTCAGTTTATTAATTGCATTTATGCACAGATGACTCCAAAAATGCTTAGTCACCAATAAGTCAATCGCTAATCCAACCTATTGCACCTGTTTAACCTTTCCTTGAACTTTGGATATATTTCATCTTATTCTATATTCCTATTAGTACTATTAACAGCACTATAATAATCATAACGTCTATAATAACATCAACAGCATCAACTTTAATAATATTCTAAGAAAAACAAATTCCCAAAAACTAAAATAAAGGAAAAATCATGAAAGGGCATGTACAGAACTGATAAATTCTTTGTGAAGCAATCTGTGTAGATACTTTTCTGTAAATCTTATTCTCATTACTGTATACAAAAAAACATGACTGTTCTAAATTTATCCTGCCCTATTATACATTTTTCTTCTTCTTCCATACTCAATTTCCTATTCATAACCATTCTGAAGTCAAAGAACTGCCACAGAATATTTATAAAAAGATATGTACATATGCATATTATCATCATTCATAATAAAACAAGACTTGGAATTTACAAAAATAATAATAAAAAGAAAAGTTCAAATGATGCCATACTCAAAGTGAAAAGGATGATTCATAAATGGTAAGCACTTACTTGTAGGAGAGGCAGGCAGCTACAGTGAGCACTGGATCGAGGCACTTCAGAACTGTTGCCGTGATGACCATTTTGGCCAGGCGTGGTGGTAGTGGCAGATCCAACAGGTGATGGCCCAACTCTGTGACATCCTCCCAGCCATCTAGGGCATCCATGCTCTAGAGACAGAAACATAATACTAAAGAATAAACTTGAGAAAATGAAAATGGTGTGCATACGTGTGTGTGTGTGGGTGTGCAAATGCTGTGTGTGTGCAATGCATGCGTGTGGGTGTGCATGCCTGTGTGGGTGTGCATGCGTGTGTGGGTGTGCATGCGTGTGGGTGTGCATGCGTGTGTGGGTGTGCATGCGTGTGTGCATGCGTGCGTTGGCGTGCATGCTGTGCAAGCGTGTGTGGGTGTGCATGCGTGTGTGGGTGTGCATGTGTGTGTGGGTGTGCATGTTTGAGTGTGTGTGTGTGTGTGTGTGTGCATGACTAAAATTGTGTCTGATACAGCTTTTGCACATACAAAGGTCGTGTATCGAGATATCGGCATTTTTCGTTTTCTTCATCTATCAATGACTATCTTGGTATCAACTAAAATATGGTATAAGAAGTCTCTCTATATCATAATCCTCTATCATCTACCTGCATTCCGAAGTCTTCCAGACATTGCTAGCACGTAACAATTTCTCAAACTTTATGTATAGTGTAGAGTGGTGGCAGTGATCTGGAGGGTCTATATGCCTACACTGACCATTTCCAAAAATTTCTCAAAAATCCAAAAAAAATCATACAGCCATTATTTCATATTTTAATAGAAATGTCCTTCTACTATAATATACAGACGCCATTTTTTAGAAGTCAACCTTACTTTTTGGGGGCTTAATATTTTCCGAAGCCCACTTTTATAAGCACATGAAAATATTGTAAATCATTATTACATCATGTAATAAACTTATTATTCAGCCACAAAATGAGCCATAATATGTTAAAATTGGACTGAAAATACGTGTGCTATGTGTAAAAATGTGAAGGACCTAATAATCGTGATATTTTTCTTTTTAATTATTTATACATTTTACATGACAAATCATGTACAAATTACTTGTATATGATAAAATTATCTGTTATTTACCTATCATTGTTCCTCTAATGGGGTTTTACAACGTATAATATTGGTTGAAAAAGTAATCGTTCTCCAGTCAGACGGGTATCATACGTGTCCTTTTTTCAGCGTATTCCATGAAATACGTTTCTTTGCATCTGTGGAACACTGGTATTTAATTCTACCGGGCCACATGGCCAATTTTCAGACTCAAACTCCCGAGAAAAGAAGAAATATTACAGGGCCATGTAAGAGTATGTATATAAGGTATATAAGCGCACACAGAATATTTTTGTGCACCACATGACCTTTTGTTTATTCATATTGTTATTTCCATTTGTTTCTTTGTTTGTTTCTTTATTTTTGTGTTTTCTGATATTTCTAAAAGTTATAAACACATTTTAATGAGATTTTAACCAAAGGTGTGTTTAAACTTAACTTAGATGCTAACTCGAAAAGGAGGTTTGCATTTAGAAATGTTTTGCTCATAGATCAAACTATGTATGATGAAAACATAATGAAAATAAAATACTTCATACGAATGGCATATCATGTTTATTTATTTGTATGGAAAATTTCTTAATTATTGTTTTTTTGACGCTTGCCAGATTTTTGGAATTATTCCGAAAAAATGAAGGTTGGACCCATCTTATGTGAAATTTAATAAGCTTTCAGATCATTTTTTTTATTGTCTCTAATCATTGCGTCAAAATTGCCGATTTTCTAAGATAACGTGAAAAAAATAATCGTTCGGTCGACATTAAAAATGGCTGCTACCACCTAAAAATAACGGTCAGGCCTTGAAATTTTCAGGAGAGAATCGGAGTCCCTGAAACTCCTTGAAAATGTATTAAACTCGATTTCGGCAAGAGGGGCGAAAATTGGCGAAAAAAGACCTGCAGTCCCCTTAAGGAGGTAGGGTGATTGAGTGAATTATAGTGTATCTGTCACTAGGGAAGGTATAGGAAAAGTGTTCAAGTAAAAATAGAGATGGCTGTTGGAAAGGTTGGGGAAGAATCCAGGGACAGGGGAAGGTGTTAGATGTCAAAGATTAGAGGGTGTTATAGGAAAGTATGGTAATGAAAAGGGGAAATAGGGGAGTAAATGAAGTAGAGCAGGGATTAGTAAAATGGGAAAGGTTAAGGGGGTAGAGTGATTGAGTGAATTGCATTGTATCTGTGACTGGGGAAGGAATAGGGATAATGTTCATGGATCATGTGTGTATCCAGGGGGAGAGGGAGGGATAGTGTGGAAGGATGGTGTTGGTGGGGGGGGGGGGTTGAGAGGAAGGTATGTGGGGAAGAGGTAGGGGGAACATAAGGGGGTAGAGCAACTGAGTGAATTGCAGTGTATCTGTGTCTGGGGAAGGAATAGGGACACTGTTCAAGGAAAACAGAGGTCGTTGTTGGAGAAAAAGAAAGAGAAGAATCCAGGGGGTGAGAAGTATCAGGAATTTATGTACATCTATTTCCCAAATCATCTTTCTGAAAAGAAAATCCCACACTTACCAATATCCAATATTGCTACACTACCATACCATGCTTTTTTCAGATAGTCAAATCCTCAATTAATCTAATGCACTTGTGTTTCTTGTTTTTCAAAAGTGTTTTAAATATCCCACCCAGCACACTATGACAACTATTTTTACTGAAGTCTTTACTGTTTCTTTATTTCCCTGAAATGCATCAACTCAAATGCTGAACATAAAGCAAAATTACCTTACCTTGAGCAACTGAACAGCATTTCTGATGACCATAAATGCTGGTGCCTCTGGTGCTCTTGCTAAGAAGTCTGCAATAGGCATGTTGGCTGGAGCTAGAAGTTTGGTATGAAGACAAAGTTCCTGCAGAAAAAAATAATGGAGGTCTGTCCTTTTGTCATTCACTTACTCTAACACACTAAAGCTGACAACCAAATACACACCCTTACATCTTGAAAAGTCTCTTCAATAAGCATCGTATTTGCTACAGATTAAGTTACAGAAAGGGATAAAATGAAAAAACTATTTCAATCACTGATCTGTAAGAGGCAGTATATATGAAATAAGAATTGTAAACAATAACACATCAGGGTTGACAATTATCAGATCACTTTACCATGTTCAACTGCCTGCAATCATATCTGGTACACTCGTTTTTTGTGAACAGTGGAACAAGCACCTCTGTGTTTGTTTACAAGCTCATACTATGTATAGCTAGAATGGATTGAAGTAAATTTCATCAAACACATGAGTTTACTAGGTTTGGAATTGAAATTTTATTCATGAATGCCATTATACTGAGATAAGTGGTTATACATAAAATCAACATTGGTTATGAATAACCTAATATGTTGGGTATAGGGTTTTGTGAGTATCAAGGGGGAGTGGGAGGCTGTGCCCATGGCTAACTGGCCTAGAAATTAAAATTTCAATAAACATCATGATACATTATGACATGAGTAACAAAGAAGTGGTATATGAAGTTCAGAGAAATAGATTATATACTGTACACACTTTTATGTACAAACACACACATTTTTTTTTCTTAGAAAATCCAATTTTGAAAAAAAAGGAGAACTGTGGATGGCAATATCAGTACAAAATAATTTTCGTTATAAAGTCCTAGCATGAATACATGGCAGTTTAATTTACTGAATTATAGAAGGTATGAAGTACATGGAGTTCAGGAATTACTAAAGAAGTTGAATTTTTCCCATGCTCCACACAGGGGGAGAGAGAGAGAGAGAGGGGGGGGGGATGGTCACTGGTTGGTTTTCTAGAAGGATCATGTATGTATGTAAACACACACATATGGTTAACCATTTTAATCATCCTCATTTAGTAAGTCTACATTGCCTTTCTATGTAAAAGAATAAAATATATATTAGTTATCCCTATCAAACTTTTTTCTTTAACAATTTTCAAAAGTAACATTTTCAACAGGAAACGAGTGTAGAGTTGGTGTTTCGACATTTGCACCCATTATCTTTACTATGCAATGAAGTGCATAAAAGTCATTAGACACCTAGGTGTGGTTGGATATTTGCGTAGTAATGGTACCTAAGACCGACAGTAACAATTAAACGTAACATTTTTTATTAGAAACCCAAGAAAAGGAGGCGATAGCTGTTTCAACTCCAGACAAAGACTGCGAATAAAAACAAGTTTAAAATTCCAAACAGTTTTTGTTTCAGAGCAGGCATTACTGTGTACTATCATCTTTAACATGAAATAATTGGTATCTTGCTTATATCTCTCAAGTTCAAAAATCCGACTTTCGGGTGCCCTTCATTTTGAAGTACCATATACAGCGGAAACAACCAATTTTAATTCAAAATCAATTTACCAATGCTAGAAAGTACCAACGGATGGGCGCAGTCAAACCAAAATATTCTAATCATTATTTATACAGCTATTTTCAAACATTAGTGTTTCGTACTTAGGAATAAATACATATCCCTTTGCAAACTACAACATATTACCAGGGAATCTCAATGGAATGCATATTTCATGCATAAAAATACACAAAACTTCTGATAATGGTATACAAGTTTGCAACAAGCAAAAGTCCACATGGGTGTACCAGGCACATATTAGCTGCATACCTTCTCTACATGTTGCCGTTATCCTATAACGTTCTTAAACCTTTGACATCTAACACATTTTATCATAATCTTTAACTCTCTTTTGCCCTTTCCGACGCAATACTTTACCATAGTGCTATATGACCTCAGATGTCAAGCACATTTATTTTCAAACATTAAACATTACATGTTGGCGATTCTCACGTGCCCCACCCAAGAAATAACTCGAGCTGGGCTCTAATAGTCTTTTAGTAGTTTCCTCATTCTTGTACCTATACAACAGGCTAGCTAACTCAATTTGACCCCACCCCATTTCCACCCCTCCACCCTCACTGAAGGAATTTCACGTCATGGAGCCATTTTTTGTGTTTAGTAAGTTCCTGTAAGACTCATCAAATTAGTAACATTACGCATATATATAATTAAAGGTTGGTCAAAGTGTATAGTGTATATAAAAGGTATAAACTGAAATCTCACAACAGGTTTTGTGGTTCTATGTTGACATTTGCTGGGCTAGGAACCACAAACATTTATTTTGAGTCGAATTATCCAATTATAATTTCCGCAAGTGCTTTTATCTATGCTAAAAGAATGTGCCTTAGTGTCTTCACCTAATAGTCACCTTACCAGGGTATTATTAGCATATTTCTTGACATTTTTACAAAGATCTCTGCATTATCTAATTGCTAGTGATGGATACTAATGTTCTATTTTCGAAATACTTCTCCATTAATATTTTTGGGTTAATAATCAACTTGTTATTGTTCAATCATTATCTCAATGACCTCATGACCTGCATTATTTTCTAATGAATGCTGAAGAATAATTTGGTTGCACTATCCCATCTGGGTTTTGAATACATACAATAATGAGATATCCCCTAGACTATAATCCTGGATGGAAGCAAGTGTCACACTAGAAAAAAGCAATGACAACCACTCTCCATGGTAGTAGACATATCAATAGATTTTGAATGAGAGATATAATTCTCCTTGTATTTTCAATGTGTTTCCAGTATAACATTTCAATGCTCTGATCCCAGTAATCTCATGCTCCAATCCATTCAAGTCATATACAGTATGCAAATGTGAACAAGCACAGAGGTGCCACTTCTGCTGTCCTACAAAAATGAGTGTATCAGAAAGTAAGTGCATGCAACTATACATATATGAAAAGGAAATTCAAATAATGAAATATTCTGTCACAAACCTATAACTATTCTGTTCCAACTAGAACTTTAATGCAAAATGAAAAAGGGCCACACACCTGCAGTGGTGTCCTCAAAATCTCTGGTGTCTGGAAGTGCTGCATGTTGTTGTAGCGGCTGCGTGAGAAGAGGTGATAGCAGATGCCTGGCTGACACCTGCCAGCCCGGCCCCTCCTCTGCTGACTTGAGGCCTGGGATATCCATACGCACCTCAAGCAAGACACACCCAAGTTTGAGTCAAAACTCACCTGAGAAGGCAAACAAACTGGTCTATCATTACAACTAATAATTGTGACAATAGTTAAAGTCTACAAATATCAAGAAAGATTATATTTCTAAATTACATACTAAAGGAGTGTACTGGATGACAGACATCCCTAGAGAACAATCAATATATAAGTGTATGATGCACAAATGAATACAGGTAAATATAAATAAATACATGCAAACATACAGACACAAGATACAAGCACACACCCACACACCTGCATGTACGTACACGCACTTGCACAAGCGCGCGCACACACACACACACACACACACACACACACACACACACACACACACACACACACACACACACCACACACACACACACACACACACACACACACAACACACACACACACACACACACACACACACACACACACACACACACACACACACACACACACACACACACACACACACACACACACACACACACACACACACACACACACACACACACACACACACACACACACACACACACACACACACACACACACACACACACACACACACACACACACACACACACACACACACACACACGCACACACACAGAGAGTGCAGTGCAATGCATCATTGCAGTACAGGTCTTACATGTTAAATATGGAAAAGATCTGGTAAAAAGTAATCTAGTCTGCTAGCCATGGTTTCTGTAAATGTGCATAGTTAATGCTGAATGAAAAATCTGGGTTAAAAAGTGAACAAATACATGGAAAACGTAAAAAGATAGTTGGGATTTGTGAGATGGGACATGAAAGAAAAGGTGAGGAGGCAAGAAGTGACCATGAATCCAGCAGGGGAAGCATTTTGCACATAGAGACAACTACTGTGAATACAGCACTGATTTTGTGGTTGTTTAACCCATTCACGCCGGTATATTTTGAAGCCAAAAATAAACGATTTCTGGGGGCTACAAAATCGGTGGGCGGAGCTTTCCCAGAGTCTGTCCACCCGCCGGACGCGGCCCGCTGCTGCATCGGAACGCGAGCCCCGATACAGCGTCACACTGGCCCAGCAATGTTTATTTTTTGGGGTGTCTCATATAGGGGACTCCCGCCGTTAATGGGTTAATGGGTAACAACCAAGGTCAGACCAGAAAGTTAGCCGAAGCAGAAGTTAGAATTGAGGCTTTAAAGCCAAGGTAGACAGAAAGTTTGAAAATATGTGAAGTAATCCTAAATTTGAAGGAAGTGGTGGATAATTTGTGAAGAAACAAAACCATTCAGGGAGAGATCACTGAAAAGTCTAGACATGAAAATCAAAGATCTCTAGATAAAGCTGGAAGAAGTAGAAAACAAGATTGGCATCAGTAGTCAAATCAGAGTAAAGAATCTGCAAGAAAAAGTTGATGAAACAATCAAAGTACAGGAAACTGTCAAGCAGATTGAAAGCAATTTTGTAAGCAAGCAGTCTTAAATAATGGAAGAGACACAAAAAATGACAGATACATATACCAATGTATCTTAAGTAATGGAAACAGTAGATGAAATGGAAAAAAAAAGTTAAAAAAGGCATTAAGATCTCAAAGGAAGAAATAAAGACATAGCTTGCAGAGACAGTGAAGAAAAAGGAATTAAAGTCAAACCTTGGGGAACATGCAAGGAATTTTGCTAATTTGGCTGATGTAAACAAGGGCATGGCCATATTGAAACATTGACATTGACAATATAACATTAGGACTCAGACTATTGTATTTGGAGAAAAGATAGGGCAAATGGAAATGGAGGGAGAGTAGCAATATTAACAAAGAAGGGAATTATTATAAGGGAGTTAAGAGATTAACTATGTCGGTGTGGTAACAAGAAAATTACCAAAAACTAATTCAAGAAATATTAAAGAGCCTGGATGAAGTGCTACAACTTTTGGAAGCTAATGCAAAAGAAATTCTTGTAACAGGACTTAAATAGGAAAATTGACTGGGAAAGATTTGATCCCAGAGTTCAGCTAGATATGTGGAAAGCAAAATTACTAGAGGTCAAATATGAATTTTTCCTTTTCCAAAATGTAACAGATCATACCAGGGTAAGAGGGCTAAACAGTCCATCTATGTTTGACCTACTCTAGAGAGAGAGAGAGAGAGAGAGAGAGAGAGAGAGAGAGAGAGAGAGAGAGAGAGAGAGAGAGAGAGAGAGAGAGAGAGAGAGAGAGAGAGAGAGAGAGAGAGAGAGAGAGAGAGAGAGAGAGAGAGAGAGAGAAGAGAGAGAGAGAGAGAGAGAGAGAGAGAGAGAGAGAGAGAGAGAGAGAGAGAGAGAGGAGAAGAGAGAGGAGAGAGAGAGAGAGAGAGAGAGAGAGAGAGAGAGGAGAGAGAGAGAGAGAGAGAGAGAGAGAGAGAGAGAGAGAGAGAGAGAGAGAGAGAGAGAGAGAGAGAGAGAGAGAGAGGAGAGAGAAGAGAGAGAGAGAGAGAGAGAGAGAGAGAGAGAGAGAGAGGTGAGAGAGAGAGAGAGAGAGAGGTATGGAGAGAGAGAGAGAGAGGTAGGGAGAGAGAGAGAGAGAGGGAGAGAGAGAGAGAGAGAGAGAGAGAGAGAGAGAGAGAGAGAGAGAGAAAGAGAGAGAGAGACCATGTAGTAATTAAACAAAAATACTATTAGCTGCAGGAAAAACTCATTGTAAGGAAAGATGGGGGAAATATAATTAAAATGGATGTAATTATAGAAGCTTTAAAAATTTATTTGATGTCATAAACTGGGAAACACCCCTAGACAAACAGAATCTTTGATATGCAATGTTCAAAATTTTGCAGTCTATAAAAAAGTAGAAAAATTTTATCAAGATTTAAAACTGAAGCAAAAATGACCAAAGGTTCATTGATAAATTATGAAAATTAAGAAAATTACAGAAAACAAGCACCTCTTGGAAAAGGTTCAGAGTATACCCAAACCATGGGGAGGGGAAATTAGACTGAAAAAGATAAAATCAATAAATGTACAAATCAACCAAAGTTCTTCTTTACCCACATAATAGTAGGACGAAACTTTGAGATCAAATTAGATCAAGTCAGAATGTCAAAAATATCATGCCCGAAAAGAATGAAATAAAAAATTGCTAAAAGGGTTTAACAAGCCTAAAGCAGCGGGACCAGATGATTGTTAAAAAGGATATTTGGAAAAAGTGTGTTGAAGTACTTGAAAACACCATACAATATTTAATACACAATTTGGTTTAAGGAAATAAAGGTCACGTGTTGCAAATTTCCTCACTTTCTATGAAAGTTTCTGAAATATTACAAGAAAGACGACGAGGTGGATTGTGCATACTTAGACTTCGAAAAGAAGTCTCTTAGAAGACTATTATGAAAATTACACCTAGTTGGAGTGAAAGGCAAACTCCTCAAAAGGATGAAAGACTTCCTTCATGAGAAAGAGATGAACACTGTGATTCGGAATACAGATGATGTCTCATGCTAATGCCTCTAAAGTGACATTGAAAACTTATTCATGTGGAGTTGGAAAACAGAATTAAATTCCAATAAATGCCATGTAAGAAGGTTCAAAGAAAATAAAAATCATCCACTATACCAATACAAATTAGGAGACAAATAAATGCCAT